ATGATTTCATTCAGCTCTGTATAAACATATGGCTTTAGACAGTTAACGCATGGTTGCGTAACGAATACTTAATTTCACAACTTCTGTTTGTATGTGAAAGCCAATCACCCCAAAATGGAAATATGCAGATGATTTAAACATTCACAGATGGTTGCAAGGAGTTTTGGACTTGGCACTGTATAAGAAATTGACCAGGAAGTCACAGAGTTGGAAGGGGACCATAAGGGTCATCTAGTCCAACCCCGTTATGTCAAAGGAGAAACCAGTGAGAACCAGTCTGTTGAAAAATGGTCCCAATGTATTGACTACAGTGGGTCCTTGGTATCAGTTGGGATTTGGTTCCAGGACCCTCCGTGGATACCAAAATCCATGGATGCTCAAGTCCTGTTTAATACAATGGCACCATTTAAAATGGTGACCCTTATATCCAACAGCAAAATCAAGACTGGCTTTTTGGAATTTAATTTTTTTAAAATATTTTTCAAGCCACGGATGGTTAAATCCGTTGATGCAGAATCCGTGGATACAAAGGGCCAATTGTGTTTGAACATCAAGGTCGGACTTTGGACAATCCCACTTATTGATAATGTAATTACACTAGATTTATGGCAAAACCTTTAAAGCTGGACTTTGGCAGAATCTTAACAGTATATTTTTAACACCTTCGTGTCAAGCATTTACATTATAAACCCACAAGCTGTCATCCTTGATGTTCTCTTTAAAGATGTTTCCAATAAAAATAAAACTGGAGGGAAAAACTTTTCGAACTATTGAGTTCAAGCAAGTCAGTTCTTTAATATGATTTTAGGACACTGAAACTCTCTTGTTTTTGCATTAACTTGCTTCAAACTATCCAGAGGGGGTATAAATAATGTAAATTTAAAAAAATAAAATATGAAGCAAATTAATTATGTGTTTTATATAAACAAGGACATTCAATTTTATTAATCTGATTCATTTTGATTTAATTTATATAAGCAATTATTACATAAACCATCTCTTCTATAAATGCACACACACACACAGACTTACATTATTTGTTGATTTTTATTTATTTTGTGTAAACAAATGTGAAATAAATAAGTCTGGTGGACTCTCCTTCTTTGGAGGTATTTAAACAGAGGCTGGATGGCCATCAGTCAGGGATGCTTTGATTGTGAGTTCCTGCATGGCAGAATGGGGCTGGACTGGATGGCTCTTGGGGGATCTCTTCCAACTCTATGATTCAATGTATTTTATATATATACATGTATCTATATTACATTTCTATGGACTGATTTTTATTTATTTTACCTAAGTACATACGACATAAATTCCATATTTTTTATCAATGCATTTACTTATGTAACAGTTCTATTTATTGCTGTTGATACATTTCATGCAAATAAATATGATATAGGGTGAGATATACAGTATTTTAATTAGTCAATAAATCATTTAGTGGGTGAAGGGTTCTCTAACTCTGTCTTAACTTTTAAGGGAACAGTCAATTCTTTTAATTCAGTCCACTTCATCTGACCCAGACTGGATAGTTTACCGTGCCTGTCACCAACCAGGACAGTGGCCAGGGATGATGGGTATTGCACTCCAACCCATTTGGTCCAGAGGAGACGTCACCTATAAAGGGAAGCTGTTTTCTACCTAGCAACCTTCCCTGCCACTGAACAGCTAATGCCCATGCAGGCCAGGGACGATGGGTATTGCACTCCAGGTGTAGAGGAGGCATCACATATAAGAGGAGGCTGTTTTCTACCTAGCAATGTTACCTACCACTGACAGCTAAGGCCCATGCAGGCCAAGGATGTTGGGTATTGCACTCCAACCCATTTGGTCCAGAGGAGACATCAACTATACGGGGAAGCCGTTTTCTACCCAGCAACTTTACCTGCCGCTATCATGTGGTCACCTTCACAGGTCAAGGTGGCCATTGGCCAAACCGACGGAGGAGATGCATCAATTGCACACCGTAGGGCACGCAAACCCTTCTTTGCACTAGACCTCCCAGCTTTCCCAACGCCAAGCAGATGGGGGAATAATGAGAGTTGCAGTGCAAAAGAAGGACCTTTCTTCTTCCAAGTTTTGCTTGCTTCTGTAAAATAGGGCTGTTGGTGGATTAAACTCTTGATTTCTACACTGGGAAACCATGACTGCACACTGTAAAATGTCTGCTTTTTGCCCACCATCTTGGCATAAGAGATTTCTTTGGGATATCCCAATTCACTGGTTTAGGAAGGAAGGAAGGAAGGAAGGATAAGGAAAATAAAGGAAGGAAGGAAGGAAGGAAGGAAGGAAGGAAGGAAGGAAGGAAAATAAAGGAAGGAAGGAAGGACGGACTCTCCCACCCATGTGCAGCCAAACCAGAAAGGCTGGGTTCTGCCCTCCAAGCGCAAGCGCCTCGGGTGTTATCTTAGACAAACAGAGCAGGTGCAGCCAAAAAGGCAGCTTGGAAGGCTGCCCCGTTTCCAACCCAAGCCCAGGCTCTCCCGTGCCAGCAGAAACCTTCCCGAGCAGATAAGCGTGTCCCAACATGGAGGCTCTGCCACGAGTTCTCGCACTAGAACAGTGACACGCTCGTGCCCGGCTCAAAAGGCACAGCAATCCGGGACACTCAAGTGAGCGACTAAGAAGAAAATGTATACAACTGTGGGCCCTTGGCATCCTCCGCTGTTGGGTTCCAAGACACCCCCGTGGGCACCAAAATCCATGGATGCTCAAGTCCCATCGGAGTGTGGCGGAGTCTCCTTCCTTGGAGGTCTTTAAGCAGAGGCTGGATGGCCATCTGTCGGGGATGCTTTGATTGGGAGTTCCTGCATGGCAGAATGGGGTTGGACTGGATGGCCCTTGGGGTCTCTTCCAACTCTAGGATTCTATGATTCTATGATATACAGTGGGGCAGTAAAATGGCATCCCTTATATAAAAGGTAAAATCAAGGTTGGTTTTTGGATTTAAGAAGCAGTATTTTCAAGCCATGGATGGTAAAATCTGTGCACGCACAAGGCTGACTGTATACACTCTGTGTGTGTATGTATGTGTATATATATATATGTCTGTGTGTGTGTGCACACGCAAGTACATATGTGTACACATACACACACGAAGTGGGCCCTTGGTATCCACTCGGATTTGGTTCCAAGATCCCCCATGGGCACCAAAATCCGTGGATACTCAAGCCCCACCATATACAATGAGATAGTAAAATGGCATCCCTTATATAAGACGGCAAAATCAAGGTTTGCTTTTTGGATTTTGGGGGAAATATTTTCAAGACATGGATGGTGGAATCCGTGGATGCAGAATCCGTGAATAAAGAAGGCTGACAGAGATACACACACACACAGTGTGTATATGTGTGTGTACATATTTATACATGTACATATTGGTCCGCCATAGGGCGGTATATAAATAAACATTATTATTATTATTATTATTATTATTA